CGTCAGACATTTGTTGCGATACACCCCTCCCAAGTGGTAGGGGTCAGTGAGGGTACCTCGGTCTTAGTGAATACGGTTTCTTCAGTGCTTCAAAGGAAGCTGCTCACACTGGTTCTATGCACACAGTAAATGGTTTTTATATGGAGGGTGAGCGGGAGTGACACCTTTCGTTGCCCTAGAGAAACTTCTGAAATCGCTGTCAACATGTCGTTGTGTGTACCGGTTTATCGTGTATCACTAACAACAGGAGCCTCACTTTGGCGCCCTCACTAGTTATTTCCAGAAAAAGGTAGGAAAAATATGTGTCAGACATGAGGCAGAGATGGTATAGTAGCAGGTGGCACGCGCACGCGGTCCACAGGTCCAGTCCCGGATTGTCTCCCGCCCAGGCCAGCAGTGATCTTTACCCTCCGGGACGGTAAGTTCGTTCCAGACTTGTCTAAGAGGATAAGAACAGTGACTTGTACATTGTCTGGCCACAGCGAGTCATTGTATAGGCCACATCGCATTCAATAAGCCACTACGATTCTGAATGGAAATAGAATGCGTGCCGCACCAAAAAGGATTGATCAACGGCGAAGACTTTATCCTTTAACCATTATGTATGTGTCAGGCCGCGTGGCCGTGGTCGTTTCTGTTAGAAAGAAGTGGAGGCGGTCGCTGTTACTCAAATGAAAGGTCATCGTCGTCTCTAATCGCTGTGGAACACTCCAAACCTCCTTCAGCCGGTGTACCGAGGATTTGGAAAAAAGTTCTCATTCCTCAGAATTCACCTAATCATTGGATAGGACCTGAACACATGTTGCCGTGGGAAACCTTGGAGAATTCTGGATACTGTTCAGGAGTCCGAAAAGGCATTCTGGATCCTAGTCAAGAGTCCAGAAATCAACAGCAGGGGAATGCCTGTCAGTCACGCGGGACGTAGCCCTTTAGATAAGATTAGCCCTGAACACGATTAGTCTGACTATTTACCATTTTCTCGGACGGGAGCTGATCTCGTGGTCGCACATGGTACAGAATTTCACGAACCTAATAAAAACATACCTCGAGATTGCATATTGTGGGACAGTGGCGTTCAATTACCAACGTATAGTCACTTAAACACCCTCTAGAAGAAAGAAGAAAAATTCATGGACAAGATCTTAAGTAAGATTCCCCCAAAAATTCCACTGTACGAATCCTTGCTCATTTCATTCCAACAAGCGATATCCTGCCCTCTGGCTCACTAATCGTTCTCTCGCATCATCCCTTCCGCCATCCAAGGACATCCAACAGCTAAATTAAGCAATTTGGAAAACCACGACCTAAAACCACTACTATACTCCAGGCCTTATGAAGAAAAATGTGGACGAGGAAGCTGCACATACTGTAATGATAGCAAAATATGCCAACTGAGGGGAACGGTATATTTGATAGAATGCCAGGGATGCGGGCAAAAGTACATTGGAGAGACAAAGAGACCGCTCTTCAAACGACTAGGTGAATATCGCAGGGCCCTACACAATCCAGCTTCATATCCGGATAACAGTCTCTCCAAGCACCGCACCAAAATGCATGCACACGAAAGCCCTCCAGCACTTACCATTACAGTATTACACCGCTCCATAGAAAATCCAGTGGGAAGAAAACTATTTGGAGCACTGGAAATAAGAAGGCTTTCCCCAGAAATGAATAGTAGGACGAGCTACGTGACGCGCTGCAGTTGATTCACTGACTACGTGATAATGGTGGAGCGGTCAGTGATATCATATGCAGAAGCGCTCACTAGGCATCCTCACTATTCAAAGGAGGGGCGACGTAGGGTCACAGTCAATACTAGACTACGCGGTTTTCACGAGGAACGGCAGACATCAGAGCAGCAGGCCAGTTCAGACCAGATCGGAGGTATCAGTGAAGGCAAGTACATTTTTGAAATTAGTTGAAGTGGGTACTGTTCAGTATTTCAATGGAAGAAGGTGGCTAAGGCACTCTACATCATGTACGGCCGCTAAAGCAACCGGAGTTCAGATGCATGACGGTTGTTTACTCAGTTGCCATGAACAGCAGCAACTGGCTTTATCACTATGACTATTGATTATACCTGACGAAGAAGGACCATTCGAAGCGTTTAACACTGCCCGAAGCGGGAATGCGATTCCACGGAAAACGAAGTCCTTACAAGTACTGCGAGAACCGCATTAAGCGGTAGACTGCTTCAAAGGCTGAGGCGTCTAAGGCTAATCAGGTTGCTGAATTTTCGTGTCATGTGTGAGGGTTATTATGGAGATTTTCGGTCTCACTCCGTTGAAAAGAAGGACAAAAGGATTAGATTTAGCGCCCTACACTTTGTGACAAACGGTTGCTATTCTACCATATAGTAATCGGCCTACGCCGTGTCGTTGTCGTCCGTCGTCTTTTGACACGAAATTTCATAGCCCGGCCGCCAGTAACAGCGTGGATAATGGTTCCAAGAAGTTGAACGAGAGAGGGTGTGACGGGAACTTACTTCGGTGCGCTGATAAATGAAGTTAATCAGTTGATAATATTTGATAAGAGGCCGCAGAAGGGGACTCTCGCCATATTCGTAAAGCGGGTCACAGCATCAGTCACGTGTTGATTTCAACCGATGATGTTAGGGTTATGCGGACAGGAACATTATTGGTGGATGACAAGAACTGTCAGCTGCTGATAAGATTCGAGGGATGTTGGAAGGGTATGGTCACTGAGTCCATCACGCGAGTCACAGCAACAGTAGGAGGTTGGTTCCAAGATACGATGTAGGGTTTAGGAAAGGAACACTAGGTTGGTGACAACAACTGCCAGAATCTGATAAGATTGGATAAGGGGCGTCAGAAAGATAAGGCCACTGTTTCCATACCGTGGGTCGCAGAGTCAGCGTTGGTTCCAGCAGGTGATATAGGGGTGAAATGGGGTCAGGAACGGTGGGTGACAAAAAGCCATGATAACTGATAGGGACTGATAAGAAGGCCTTGCGGTCATCGTTGTTCAAGGTGTTAGAGCTTTCAAAGTACCAAATTCCAAAGTTTTTGTGGAAGGACGACGTGTGGTAAGTAATCATACCAATTGATTAAATTTGATGAAAATCAAATTTCGTCACATTTCTTACCACTTTTTAACGATTCACTGTCAAGTATCTCGGTGTAGTTCTTTCTTTTGATGTCATTAGAATTTCGGAAGTAACAAAGCGCTGTATGTTGCACGATCCTCTCGCCTGATTCAACTTAACCCATTGCTCGAGCTATTTTCAAGTATTTTTCTACATATTGCTGGAAAATGCACTGTGACGGTTAGGCGTATTTTGCACACTCTACCTCGCCTCGAAAGAGTGCCTGGCGAAGCCAGGCCGGCCCGGCGAAGCCGGGCCGTGACAAAGAAGGAGGAGCACCCGGCGGCAGCCGGGTGATCCGACTGGTGAATAATAATGAGTCAATGAAAAGAACAATTAGCAGCTCGTGAACTGGTCAATAAAAAAAGAAGATAACCCCAGGTTCTCAGCCGACGATCCCTCTTCCTCCATTCTTGCCACCTCAATTACGACTAAATGGACGACTTGTTCGTTTGAGTGAGCGCGGTGTCTCTAAACTAGAGCCAATAACTTGGTAACTTGTTCGTCGCAATTCCAAGCCCATACAATCCAACCTGTTCTCGTTGAGATTACACAGTATACATAAGTCTGACCACACTGCGCAAGAAGAGTTTCGCTTCATTTCCAATTTTGTGAATACACTACAACGAGCTTTTTACGCTTTTGATTAATGTGGAACCGCAAAATTAAAGAGACCAGGTTAACAAATCTGTCAGAATAAATCGGAGCTGTCTAGGCGAATAGGTTACCAGACAGGATACGGTAGCAGCTACCACTGCTGAAGAGTGAAGGTTGTGGATAATCCATGTGAGAATTTTTCTTGCAAAAATGTGCACGTACAATACCGCTCTTGTTTTTGTAAAATAGGATGAACCCGTCGCAAAACGGAGGGTTTACGAAGCAGCCTTGTCCGTAGGTAACACCCATGTAACTGGAACTCAATTTTCAATATCTCCGAAAACTTCATTCTCCTCTGCCACCCTGTCCATCTACGCTCCAAGCAGAAGTTCCCAGTGAGGCTCCGATCGTGCTACCTGTAGAGGAGCCCGCCACTCTTCCACTGGTAGAGCAAACTACTGCTGCCCTAGCTGGAGACGTCCATTCAGTGAGTTCCTACACTCCTTCAGCTGAAGAAATCCTCACCACTCTTCCACCAGTTCCGGTCACGCCGAAATATGTTCCACTGCAGCACCAGTGGTACAAGCAGTTGCCATAGGTACGTCTGTACCTGTGACAACTGCTTCTCCACTACCACCTCCGACTACTATCAAGTACGTGCTAAACTATGAAGCCGCTGAGAAATACTGGGCAACTGCGACGTTCCCCACTACGACGAAAGCTTCGGTAGTTGTTCAGCCACTACAAGATGTTCCAGTCGGCTACGCACCTCCGCCGCCGCCAGTACCAGCTCCTGCGCTTGAAGGCATTGTGAATCCGAAACCGAAGGAGGTGGAGAAGCCCATACACCATCCGCCTCCACTCCCTCTTCATGTTGAGCCAGTTGTTCCAAAGCCGATGCCCATATCGATGCCTAAGCCCATTCTTGATGAGCCATTGAAACCCCACGGGTGTTAAACACCCTGGTGACAGTTCTTCGATCCCAATCTTGAACTTACTCCTTCCGCGTGTGAATGGGTATTGCCCCAGAATTCTCCCAGTGTCCAGTGTTCGTGAAAAAAATTTCCAAAAATTACAGAGCTTTACCGTTTCATTCGTTGTATATACTCCCCGACTAGAAGACAGTCGTTGAAATTGTTCATAGGAACCCTCTAGTGCTAAGCATTGTATAATAGGAAGGTGATCAGGTTTTCGTACGGGGTCTCTCTTCAATTCATTACCTACCCGTTGCTCAGTTTCACTCATATTCCCCGTTTCCCTGGGCTGCTCCGGATGCGTTTTGAGGATTTTTATCCTCGCCTTCGTCCACTTCGGCGAACAACCCCGCCCAATTAGTGAACGAGCTAGGCGCGTTGTGCGTGCTCTGCGAATGCTGGCCCATGTTCCCAATTTCAGGCGGTCAGACAGGCGCACAGGCACATAAATAACTTCTGCTTTATATAGAGAGATATATAGGGGAGATTCTATGATAGATGGAAGAGATTTACCGAAATGAAGCCGTTTACTATTTCAATCTCTCCCAGACACCAAAAAATAGGATGAACGTGAAAAGTTCATACATCATTGGATTCGTTATGTCAGGGCTATCGACCACTCGGAATTAATCAGATCATTGCAGGCAACATTCCACGAAAAGTCATGCAAAGTCGACGGTTTGCAACGGATTAACTCCAAACGCTGATTTTATTGAAAAGTTAGGGCGATATTGTGCACTCTTCCTATACTTCATAACCGGAGGTGGAAGTCTCATAGGATGCCCATGAAATCAAGTTAAAGTTCGCGAGGGAAGAAGTCAGGATTTCCACTGAAAGATAGAAAAATAGAAGGATTTCAAACTGACACTTGATGGGGACCGATCGACATCACCTCTGGTTATGTGCATGTAGCGCTGGCTTTCACACAAAAACTTCTCACGGTATCCGATACAAAACAACGTACATACTCTCAAGTTCTCCCTTCTCGTAAGGCTGCGTTTATACTTTGCGGCAGCGTAGCGTAGCGCTTCCAGCGTACGCCAGCGTTTCTCCAGCGTTTCACCAGCGTTTTGCTAGCGTTTGCAGCGGCAGGGGAGTAGAGACTATGTGGCCGTAAGAGACGCGCAATCGTTGTGTATTGTAGAGACTATGTGGCCGTCAGAGACGCGGAGTCGATGTGTATAGTAGAGACTATGTGGCCGTCAGAGACGCAGAATCGATGTGTATGGTAGAGACTATGTGGCCGTCAGAGACGCGGAATCGATGTGTATTGTAGAGACTGAGGGCGAGTGAGAGACGCGCAATCGATGTGTTTTGTACCCTCCAGCTCTCCCATAGTCTCTACTCCCCTGCCGCTGCAAACGCTAGCAAAACGCTGGTGAAACGCTGGAGAAACGCTGGCGTACGCTAGGTGACGCTGGGAACGCTACGAAAAAAATATAAGATACAGAAATATCAAATCACTTTCCACGGCATGCCGGCTGGCGTCACGCTGGAAGCGCTACGCTACGCTTGCCGCAACAGGTATAAACGCAGCTTAACTCGGGATGATGTCGAAATTTGAGCTTATTCTGCCAACGAGGTTGTTAAATAGAAACCTTTTTATTTTCCGACGTTCGACCTTCTCATCTTTATTTCAGAGGCCAAATGCTCGAAGCTTTCAAATTTGTCACCTACCGCCAAGCGCCTTCGCCACTCTTAGCGTTTCCTACCCGTGTTTCCCCAATTGCCCCGAAGACACGCCAGTAAATAACTACGCACTACTCCAGCGGGTTCCATTGCGCAGCGTGGCTCACGCTATGTTTCAGTAGGATTAAATGAGGATGAATGAAACCTCGGTAGAGTCTCAAGTGTCACATCAAGTCAAATTGTCAATTGTGCAGTTCGCCCTTAATGGAGCCTCTCACACTAATACAAACGGCAAGAACTCATTTGTAACTGACGGACGTTTGTTGATTCTTGCCGTTTGTATCAGAGTGCGAGCTACAGTAAGGGCGACGTGCACAATGACAATTTTGACTTATGTGACACGATGAGACTCTAGTGAGACTCATTCGTCCTTACTTACACTACTGACACATAGCGTGAGCTAGGCTCCGCACGGTAGTTCTTCAGTCATTACCGGGTTCTTCAGGGGCATTCGGGGACACGGCGTCGGAAACGCTAGAGTGGGGAAGGCTGTCGAAACGTCGGGAAAATAAAAAGGTTCTATCTATAATAACAACCTCGTTTGGCAGAAATAACTCAACATTCAACGTACATACTTTTGAACGGGTTATAAAAGCAGTCCTGGTATGATGTCGCTTTCAAGGAGAGCCGCCGTTCACGCGAGTATCGGACCATCTGCGAGCGACCTTCTTCGTAAAGAGGAGCTTCTGTATTATTCGAGTGAATAACTTCTGTGTTATTTGGAGAGGTGGGGAGGACCTCGAATGACTTCTGTATGGGTATCATGTGGAAACAGAAGGATCGCCTCCGCTCTTCCTGTTGTCCATTACTTGTTGAAACGGGCAAGACTGTGTCATATCGTTCATGTCAGTCGCTTTCAACCAATCGCTGCCGCTTACCCGCTTCAACGATTGGTGAAGAACGAGCTGGCATCGCGCCAATGCAGCCTCGTTGACACGCCTCATCATGCGCAGTGAATAAGACTGTTTATCCTTGGCATCAAGTGATGCCCTCAGAATGTCATTCAAGTTAATTCACCAGATCGGTATCAAATAAATTGAATTCAATTTGTGCCACGTGAAAAATGTTATAAAATGAAGCAGTAAAGCTTTCTGTCTTGAAGTTGCCCTGCCAACAAGATTGTTTTGTGAGAGAATATTCCAGCAATTCGTTTACAATCACAATCAGGAACGTACTAC